TTTTTCTTTTCTTTGCATCAATCTTTTTTATTCTTTTCTTTCTTTACACTTTTTTGCTTGTATTCTTCCTCTTTATTTCCTTCATATTCTTTTTTTTTTCTTTTTTGCCCCACTCTTATTTCTTTCTCTTTTTTTTCTCCTTATTATTCCATTTTCTTTTTTTCTTTCTTTCTCCTATTTCTTTCATATTTTTCTTTTCTTTCTCTCACTTTAAATCTACCATACTCCCTTTCAACTCTTTCTTTTCTCTCCTTTCTCACATACACTTTCATCTTATTTCTCTTCATCCCTAATTCTTTTCCAGTCTCCCTCTTATTCTCTCATACACTGGTTATGCTCTCTCTCTCTACACACTCCCTTACTTTCTCTCTCTCTCTTGACATCTTTGTTTTTATTTTCTTTCACTTTTTTATTTCTTACTGCTGAAAGTTGAAATCTATTTTTATCTTCTACTAGACCACTAATAAACTCTCTGGGTACCTTTTAGAAGCCATTCGTGATACAAAATGATGAGGTAACAATATCAATTCTATTATTAATTACACATATTTTAATTTGTATTTGCAATACAAGTTATTGTGATAACTATTATTACTCACATTATATAATAATACTTAGATCAAATTCAATAAGAAATTAATAATAATTATATTTTTATTATACTTGTATCTACCTCATTTATTTCTAAATATGTACTGGCGGCAAACCAGCATGCATCTATTTTTTTTTTATTTACCATCAAATCATGTGACACAATTTTCCAGCCATACAGATTATGTTTTACAATGACACACACAGATAGCATCTTCAACTATCAAGTAATTGCCAAACATGAGATATTTGTTTATAAAAAAAATTTAATATAGTTTAGTGAATTGTATAAATATATGTTGTGCTATGTATATTTAAATTTATTTAATAATGTTACTATATGAATGTTTATTATTTTTCACGTACATAACAGATGGAATATAATATGCAAGTGTTCGTTCAGATGTGGACTAATATAAGAATGTGTATTGAAAACAAATACTAAATTTCCTATTAAAAATTATATAAAGAGAAAAACGGCCCTAGCTAAAGAACCTCTTGTCTAATTTTAATAATATTTGGCACTGCAGTTGGTAGAGGTTCAAGGTACACCTTGTGAACATACATACATACAAGATTAGAGTCTTAGTATTATACAGATATATATCCATACATACTATATATATATATATATATGAATAACAAATATACCTTTGTAATGAATATTCAATGAAATATGCATATAAGAATGATTGCTACCTAAATATATATGTTGCTTTTTGTGTTTAAATATATATATATATATATATATATATATATATATATATATAGACTAACACATAGTTATTAAATGAATTTTGATCTGAAATTTCAATTTATAATGTTCAAGCAATATGATTAATATTCAACAATAAATTAAATGTACTGAGATTATGCTGAAAAGAAATATTTGTCTGAAATACTTCTTTATCACTAATCTATGAATAAGATTATATATATATATATATATATATATATATATATATATATATAAAACACTATTTAGAAAAATAGTATGACTAATTGGAAAAAACTTTTTATGATGCCTTTCATCCATGAGGTTTCATTGAACTGGGCTTTGTTGATGTTGCCACATCTATACATAAGCATGAAATGAGAGACACTGATAGTTTAAAAAATTTTTGAAATTTCAGCCACAGTAAATTTAGATCCAGGCTCTTACAATATATCACTATTCTTGGTAGATTTTCTGTTGTCACAACATGAGATAGAAACAAATAATGTGATGGAGAGAAAAAGAATACAGATGAATTTGGCTTGATTGGAAAAAATATTCTTTTAAAATATATATATATATATACACACACTCACTCTCTCTCTCTCGAAAATATTCTTTCAAAAATTTTGGAACTACCAGCATCTCTCATTTTGTGTGAATGAATGTGTAGACATGGCAACCATCAGCAAAGCTCAGTCTGATGAAATCCTTACAGATGAAATGCATCACAAAACTTTTTTCCAATTTGTCATACTATTTTTCTAAATACTGTTTGTTGATATATAAAATTATACAAAATTATATATTGTTATATCATACTGTCAACATGGAAAAGCACCAAATTATGAAAGAATACATAAACCTGTTAACATTGGCCAATTCATTTGGAAACTGAAAAGGTTTCTTGCTGATGTACATCGATGAAAAAGTGATCCTATGATGCACACACAAAATACTTAGAACAGCACATCACATATGCATGTGATTTCCTAAAAGCATCTGCTGAAGAACTTAGTGGTTAGTTTTTCCAATACTTCTAACAAAGCCAGAACTTTTAGAATGCAACTCCACATAAAGTACATTATAAAAAAGCTGGAAATGACTCAACTACACCAAACTATCAAACAAATGAGTAACAATCAAAACAACAAAGTGAGACAACAATCTATGCAGCAACAGCAAGGCGAAATATATTGGAAATCCTAATCTAATAGAAAATTTATTGGATATAATGCTTTCCAATACAGAATGAGAAGCCCTCAGCTTTGGTTTAAAATTTGCAAAGGAGACATAATAGACACTATAATAAAAAATTACAAGCATAATGATTCTAAGTTCACCAAAGGTTTCATTCAAGGCAAAATCACTATTACTATAAAAACCAACAATGAAAATATATTACTAACAAGACACTTAAATGTACTAAAAAAATCTAACAAAAAATAAGGAAATGTATATTACAATCTCCACTCCCTTTTCAGATGGAGTAATCATAAACAAGATTACATATATAGAAAAATTAACTCACTACTCGATGATACTGACACATACAAAAACCTAAATGAACAAAAAATGACTACCGAAACACAAAAATTCAACAACAAAATCTGGAAACTGAGTAAAAATGAAAACAAATCATGGTATAGACGCATAGAATATCACCCTGGAACACCAAAACTTTATGGTCTCCCTAAGACCCACAAAACTGGTATCCCAATGGGCTCCATTATTTCTAGAATACACAGTACCCCCTTACAAAATAGCTAGAGCCATAGCAAAAATATTAACCCCTATCCTTGGAACAATGAGTCCATCACATATAAAAAATTCAGGCAAACTTGTTGAAAAACTAAGTTGAAATAAACATGACTGACAAACTCATGGCCAGTCTAGAGATAAGATCACCTTACACTAAATCCCACTTGAAAAATGATTATATCTCTTAAAAAAGCATTGAACAAATTTAAAGATAAACCTCTCCCTACTAATTAATTAATAATTAATAATTAAAATCTGCCATCTCATCCCCACCCAATGCTATTTCACATTTAATAACAATTTTTACAAACAAAAATTTGGATTACCAATGGGATCGCCTCTCAGTGAAGCAATGGTATATATTTTCTTGGAATTTCTTGAGTCTGGCTCTTTCCAACAATCAACTTACTTTTGATATATTGTTGATGCTCTATTAATATATCCACATGTTACTAACATACTAGATCTTGTAGATAAACTAAACACACAACAGAATTTACATACAAAATAGAAAAAAACAATACTTTATCTTTCTTAGACATCATGTTACACTAAGTTAACAACAGCCTAAAAAAGTCCACCAAAAATCAACCAATAAAAACGACCTAATAAACTTCTATTCCTATCATAACAACAAAATAAAATCTGGAATGATTATTAGATTCTATTTAATAGCACTCAGAATTTGCAGACCTCACAATTTACATGAAAATACTTTCGAGGCCCTTCAATACCCTATTTCATATTCAATGCAAAACAAAAGACTCATAAAATATTGCAAAATAGAAGAGCTGTCATCCCTGACAAACCCAACAAATCAAAAAAATATATTGTTCTACCCACTAACTCTATCACAACTATAACTGAAAAGAATTTATCTAAACTCAACATAAAATTTGTCACAATTACATCTAAAACAATCAAAGACTTAATCAATAAAAAATGAAACAACCAGCCAAAACTTGAAGGAGGAATTTACTCTATCCACTGCAAGGATTGCTAGAATGACTACATTGGAGAAACCTCAAGAAGTTTAAACAAGAGACTATATGAACACAAAAGTGACATTTTAAAATACAACACACAAAATGCATTATAACAAAATTGACCACAATTTTAACATAGTGGATTATTTTCTCCTTTAATCAAAGTAGCATTGCCTAAGACGAAAATGTCTGGAAAGTGCCTTGATTGCTAGTTCAGCCATGATAAATTTGCATCCAGGCTCTTATCACCATTCTTGGTAGATTTTTTGTTGTCACAATGTGGAATAATCAGAGATGAAGGTAATGGAAAGAAAAAGAATAGAGATGAATTTGGCTAAATTGAAAAGAATATTCTTTAAAAAAAAAAAATTCTTTCAAAAATGTTGAATCTACCAGCATCTCTTGTTTCATACAGATGTGTAGATATGGCAACATCAACAAAACACAGTCCGATGAAATCCTAACGGATGAAATGCGTCACCAAAATTTTTTTTCAATTTGTCATAATAGTTCTCTCTCTCTCTCTCTATATATATATATATCACCTCAAACAAGGTAACAAAGCCATTAATACAATAAATAAATACTTCTTTTATTATTAACCTACAGATGTGCATAAATGTATATATTATTAGTGTCTGTGCACACACACACACACCTCTTTTTAATTTTTCAGCCCAAGCAAGGCAACAAAGCCAGCAAGACACAGAAGGGGATTATATAAGAGAGAGAGAGAGAGAAAGTCAAATGGGAATATTGATTCTGCCCAATTATCAAATATGTCACTGATATGCTACCTTATGTTTGATAGCACTCTACCCTAACTACCTTATATACCCAGGTAATAGTGGCTGTTACCCCCATTTTCAACTTGGAACTTTTTATAGATGTGAGAGATAAATTAATATCTTCTTTCTGTCTTTTTTTTCTTCACTTTTCTCTTGTCAATGTACTCATTCCACGTTTCATTGTTTCTTGCCATTGCTACATTTTCAATCCTTCTTAATTTCTTCTTCATATCTCATTTTGCTTGTCAAAAATCTTTCCATTCTCTCTCTCTCACAACCTTTTCTTCTTCATTCAATTTATCTCTTTTTTTTCCTGGTTACCTTTTTTTTTTGCTTCTCTTTTTTTCTCTTCTTTTCAACTTCTTTCATTTGTTTATTCTCCTTCTTTCACAATTTCCTTTTCACTTTTCTTCACCTTTATGTCTTTCTCATTTCCTAACTTTTTCTTTTAATTTCATATTTCTTTTCTTTCTTTTTTTTATTTTTACTACCTCTCCTTCTCCCAAGTTCTTCTCTCTGTATTTCCTTACTTCTTCTCATTTATAGCTTTCTCCAACCTTTATTCATTTTTCTTCTTTCTTTTCCTTTTGATTTACAATCTGTTTGTGAAGCATTTTTTTGTTTCTCATTTATTCATCTGCAAAAATGCATGTCTGATTATTGCTTCTTCACCTGCCCTCCTACTTGCTTATTCTTTCTTTCTTTCTTTCTTTCCCCCTCCCACACTCCCGGGGGGTCTCAAAGACCAGGCTGCAGGAATCTGCACTTCCCTCACTCCCACCACAATACTTTCCCCATACAATCACCCGAAAAAATACAACTTGAATAACACCATCATCCAACGTTTGTTCAGCCTTTATTTACCAAATTTCCCATTCCTGCTTATCTCCATTGCATCGTCCTGTTTACCAAACGCCGAAATCATTTACATTTTCGACAGAAGAAATTAACTCAGCCTAAACACAATTCAGCAGCGTATTGACCGACGAAATATGTTTTAGTTTGTAAGACTAACCAATATTTAGAATTACTCTCAGAAAGGTTGAATAAGGATGATCTCAGGGACAGCAGGGTTGGTGATGACTGGGGACAGAAGATGGGGATACTGGGAAGGGATGACAATCAAATCAAAGCCATGGATGTTTGACTTTGGATCTTAGCAAACACTAGACACAGCTTACCAAGACCACTGTTTGGCTGCCGATCAGTGACAACAGATGCCAGTGGATAGGGTCTGCTCCTGAACTATATAAAAGATGGGAAGTTCTGTGAGCAGACTCCTCTGCATATTTGCAGATGATGACAGTGTAGGGTTAGGGTTAAGAGTGTTTGAAGCAGAGAAAAGAGATTTTTCTGTCTGTGCATGTGTATGTCGGACTGATGGGGACAGAGATGGAGAAAGAAAGCAAGGTAGAGAGAAAGAAATCGAAACACAAGCTTGTGTTATTTGTCTAGTATCATATTTTCTCCTGCATCTAAGACTTACCGAACCAATTCCAACCCAGTCCAAACCCAAGGCTGGACTTTTATTTCAATATAACGATGGATGTAGAATTGGGAAGGGAAAGAACTGTAGAATAAGAAAAAAATGGAGGAAAGAGAAGCAGGAATTGGATGAGAAAGAAAAACAAACAAACAAAAAAAGAAAATTGAAGGGTTGATCAAGGTGGCCTCTGTCCACATCACCAAAATCAGGAGAAGCCAATTTCTTATTATTGACCAGCATTGATTTGTTTGTTCACCGAATATTACGAGGTAGATAGAAAGGAGAATTTTCAGAAGGACCACCCCCAACAGTACCTTCCACCTTAATTCAAATTCCTAACCTCCACCAAGCAACTCCCAAAACTCGACAACATCGTCTATCGATTATTCGACCAGGAAGAGATAATTTTATCAGATCTTCAGCTGTGAACCAACAATACAATGCTATGCAAGGTGAAAGTATGACTGAGCCCAAAGTCATAATGGAAAAAGGTACATTCCAACTTTTTCTTGCCTATGAAAAATCTGGCCATCAAATAAAATTTTTGATTAATCCTGCCAAAATAAAGGACATGCAGTGACCATCATTTAGGCAATAAGTATTATAGGCCAAAAATGTTAACAGCTTAACAATAGGTAGAGATCAAACCATCTCATTAAGTTATAAACCTCTTGACAGAGTCAGAACAAATCTTTCAAACCTTTGACATCAATAGAACTGTAGTTTCTATAGAAAAGCCAATCATTCTAAATTGTTATCTGAAGTTCAAGGTGAATATCATGAAATGAAACCTTGGATGCGTTTTACAACTATTCCATGAATTATTCAAACTATTATCTTCATCTTTGTTATTTAGACCACAACATTTCATCAGTATTCTCAAAAACACAGTTTCAATGACTTGTAACTTTACGCAATCACAACCAGTAACAGCTATCTGAACAGTTTCATCTACTCAATTTCAATCACAAGGCTTGTGTCAACCCATGGTATCATCCTGGTACAGCCCGCCTCCATCAGACAACTATCCAACTAATACTTGAGTAGATGTCCCGTTTATTTATTAAACAGTATATTTATTTATTTATTTTCATCTTCAAACTTGAATATTTGAAAAATCCTATTAAAGAAAAGATGCACCTTCCAGAAGGATTTGAACCTGAATCTTACTTATATCTGACATGATTTCTTTTGCTAAGATGAAAATAAATAAATATACTGTTTAATAAGTAAATGGAGCATCTACTCAAATAAGTATATATATATATATATATATATATATATAGTACAGGTAATAGATCCATTGGTATATAATCCAGGTGTATCCTAGTAATATCAGATATTAAAACTGATCCAGAGAGAGAGCTCAGTGTATTTATTATAACAGAGCATATATATTATACAACAAAAATTCCAAATTTACCTCATGTGGGTATAGTCTATTTTAAACTGGCACAACCTTATGCCAGTCTTCTTCAGCCCGAGACTGACCGTCACGGAATCAGGGGTTTTGAATTTAGTTTAGATAGCAGTTGTGGAGAAGATACAGGGTTTTTCAAAGGGTATATATATATATATATATATATATATATATATATATATATATATATATATATAGTGATGAGACAGCAGATTTTTCTTATTTTAGCTATTGGTAGGGAGAGGTTTATCTTTGATATTGTTAGATTCTTTCTTATGAGATTTAAGCATTGTCCAATCGGAATGTTAGTGTAAAGTGATTTTATATGTAGACTGACCATGAGTTTGTCAGTCACTGACAAACTAGATATAAAAGCCTAGATATAAAACCACTTTACACTAATTATTTTTTTTAAGAGATTTAAGCATTTTTCAATCAGAATATTGAAAAATGCTTAAATCTCTTAAAAAGAAAATAATTTAACAAAATCAAAGATGACCCTCTCCCTACCACTAAACATGGTTGGAACTGTGTAGCGAAAATAACCATATTTTAAATCAATTAATTTATAATATATATATATATATATATATAACTGTGTAGTGGTAATAACAGTGGGCAGTGATATAAAAAAACAGGGTCCAAATATAGCCAGAACTAAAATGCAGCAATGATTATTGCTTCTTATTTTGTTTGTCCCAACCGACAGTATCTGCTGTTTCAATGTCATTATCAGAGTGAATAAAAGTTTTGAGGGATTTCTTTAATAGATCCTGCCCTTAATATTATAGGTTATAACAAAGATCCAGTATTCAAATAATTTTCGTTGAATTTTCCAAGTAAAATAATTTCTAGTATACTTGTAAATAGGCTTTCAGTATTTGCTGTGTTAATATATATTCAAGCACATGAGTTAATGAAAGTTTTCATATATTTGTTTAATAATCGGAATGTATTTCTGTATTAATTTCCATTAAATTTCTGTATATGCTTTTAGTATTAGTGTTATCACAATATAATTCTTAGAGTGAATGAAAGTTTTAATGTATTTATTTAATAAATTAAACCTGTTATATATGTAATATTTGAGTGAATAAAAGTTTTGATATATTCATAAAATCTACCTGTTATTATATATAATTTGATTTAATGAAAATTTGATGTATCTAATAAATTCTACCTGTTATATATGCAATCTTAGAGTGAACAAAAGTTTTGTAGTATTTACTTAATAAATTCAACCCATAATACTACAGGTTATATACAGATTTACAATGAAACTAATTTACAATTTTCTACATTAAAAGAATTTCCACTACATTTTTACAGATTATTTTACAACTTGCTGAGTCATTGTTATATTCTGTGCTAAAGGAATAAATACTTAACACCAGTTGGGTAATAGAAGAAAGGTTTATTGTACACAACCAGTACAATATGAAATACGGTACAGTTATACACACAGGTCAATCTAGTAGTGAGTGCCACTAGTTGGAAGGTCGGATATGCTTGTGTCTTCTCTCTCTCGTAGACAGTTGACTTTATAGGTACTTATTACCTATAGTGTAATCATTCATGAGGGTGACTGGTTATTCCATTGCATCAGTCATGATAGATATAATCTTCAAGCAAGGCAATAAGGGTGCAGGAGGTTATAGGCAGTGAAAGAGAACAAGAAGACTTTAGTGAAGTATTAAAGGAACAGGGTTCGGTTAGAAGATGGCGATTGATGTTGCATTTAAATTTTTGAATTTTCTAGGTGATAGAAAACAAGAAATTGGAAGGGAGTTCCACAGGTGAGAAGTGTGAGAAAAGAAACTATTAGAGTAGAAGTGGTGGTTGCATCTAGTTGGTTTAACAGTAAAACAGTGAGACCTAGCTACCAATCTAGTAGCACACTTAAATTCATATAGTCAAGTCACCAAAGAAAAAAGCTAATCAGATAGAAAAGACAGAGGGAAACCATATCATTTTGGTAAGAAAGTAACTGATGTTGATGTGCCTGCTCAGGATTGATTACATTAATCTATTTGACAAATTCTAGCTATAATATTACAAGTTGCATAAGAATCTCCTATTAAACTAATTTGTAATGCAATTCTTTATATGCTTTTAGTATTTGTTTTACTACTATATATATATATATATATATATATATAGAGAGAGAGAGAGAGGAGAGAGAGTTGGATTAATGGATAGCAGCTCGAATTGATGAATCGGAGATTCAAGATTGAATTCGTCGAATCCATTACATGCTAATACCCTTGGGAAAGGTATGAATCCTATTCTCCCCCCAGGATAGACCAGGTTCTATAGCCTTGGATGGCAACCGGTCTACTGCAGAAAGAAATAGCAACCTACTGCGAGGAAAAATCTGCCTCGTCAGTCATGAATCGAAAGATACATGATAGCCTAAACATGTATCACACATGGGACATAATAAATATATATATATATATATATATATATATATATATATATATATATAACATTTTCATTACTTAAAACATTATTTTTAGTGAATAACTGTTTGTAATAATGTCCCATTTTTTGTTTTAAGAAGTGTGTATTATGTCTATAAGCCAGCTGAATGCAGAGAATGTACTTTACGCCAAGGCTCAAATCTCCATCCTTCTTTGTTAGGGGAAACCACTGTACTTTCGACCATAGAGTACATTACAGCCCAGCAAGTTTCTATTTACCCACGTTTAAGAAATGCACAAACCTTCATTCAAAAAAAAAGAAAATTATTTCATGATATTAAAACTCTATATTAATTATTTATTTCTCTATATTAAAACTATATTAAAATTTCTCAATATTGAACCCTGCATTACAAAGGCATGGTGCCACAAAATAAAAAAAGAAAGTCAGGAGGTTAAATCAGATTGGGGGGGGGGGCTAAGTTAGATGTAAAGTTTTAAATATTCCTGATTTTATGTTTTTTTTTTTTATTTGATCCCCCCCCCCTCATAAAATGGACGTTTTTTTTTTTTTTAGATCTATTATTTCAGTGTAAATATTTTTATTTGTTTTGATTTTAA